AATCTCGATATTCTTCTGACACAATGCTGCCATTAAGCCATAAAAAGTCATGTTGGCCACCACACAAATGTGTAATAGTGTGATGTGAATTTCAGTAATCCTCAGTATGTAGGCCAGATGTCCCAATGACTGGCAGAGGTTACCAAACATCCCACCCCTTCACAACAGGCAAAGTATTGATTGTATTCAAGTAGCACATTCTTGAAAAGCTCAGAATAAAATACCTAGCATTAAATGTGAATCCACAATAGAGCTCATTTACTGAGTAATCCCATGTATGCTAAGAATTGCATGAAAGCCAGTTTAAGATTATCAGTCAGGCCCGCATTGTGGCTCACTTATGCTTACTAGAAGATATAAATATTCCCACTCATTAAGGTCTCCTTTAGAAATTAAAACAAAAATCCAGGCATCTTGCCTTTATTAGAATTAAACAAAAGCATGGGGTCAATAGTTCCCTTGTTCATTCTCCACAACAAAGCCATGATGAACCAATGTCAATCTGCCAACCAATCAACACCATTTTCTCATGCAGTACAAACTGTTAGCCCCTCTAGTGTTCTTGACTCTGCCCTGATTAGTGCAACATGAAAGGTTTCTTTTACCAGCAACATTCCATTTTTGAACCATCAAATAACCATATGTACTATTAAAGGATGCATCCAGTTCCAAGATGGGTTTAAATTAAATATGACTTTCATACTTTGTAATTGGATCTGCTCCTTATACAATAAGTAAAGAAGCATGAAGATAATAAAATGCTGAATGAAACTGAGAATTATTACTACTTCTTTAATCACAGGATGTGGGTATCACTGACTGGGCCAACATTTATTACCAATCCCCAGCTGTCTTTGACAAGGTGGTGGTGAGCTGCCTTCTTGAACAATTGAAGTCCATTTGCTTTAGGTAAACCCCCAATGTCACTGGGGAGACAGTTCAAGGATTTTGACCGAGCAACACTGAAGAAACATCAGTATATTTCCACATCAAATAATGGGTGGCTTGGAGAGAAATTTGCAGGATGTGGTAGTGATTGTGAGTCTGAAAGATGCTGCTGAAGGAGCCTTGATGATTTTGCCAAACATCTAGTAGATGGTACACACTGCTTCTACTGGCAGTCAGTGGTGGAGTGATTGAATGTTTCTAAATTGTCCCAATTGATGTGGTTGCCTTGTCATGGATGGCTTCAAATTTCTTGGGTGCTGTTGGAGCTACAGTCATATTATCACACTCCTGATTGGTGTCTTGTAAATAGTGGACATACTTTGCTGGGTAAGGTGATGAGTTACTCACTGCCTCTGACCTGCTCTTCTAGCCACTGTATTTATATAGCTTGTCCAGTTCAGTTTCTGGCCAATGGTAATCTCCAGGATGTTGTTAGGATTCAGTGATGATGATGCCATTGAATGTCAAGAGGAGGTGGTTAGATTCTCTGTTTTTGGAGATTACCATTATCTGGCCATTGTGTGATGCAATGTTACTTGCCCCATGTCATCCCAAGCCTGGATATTGTCTAGGACCTGCTATATTTGAGCACGGACTGCTTCAGTATCTGAGGAGTCACGAATGGTGCTGAACATTGTGCAATCACTTCCGTGAACGTCCCCTCTTCTGACCTTATGATGGAAGGAAGGTCATTGATAAAGCTGCTGACGATTGTTGGGCCCAGGACACCACTGTGAGAACCCCCGCAGTGTGGTTCCAGAGCTGAGATAACTGAACTCCAACAATCACAATCATCTTCCTTAGTGCCAGATATGACTCCAACCAGCGGATCATTCTTTTCCTGATTCACGTTGACTCCAGGAACAAAAACAGAAATTGCTGGAAAAGCTCAGCAAGTCTGGCATCATCTGTGAAGAAAAAAATCAGAGTTAACGTTTCGGGTCCAGTGATCTTTCCTCAGAACTGGACCCAAAACGTTAACTCTGATTTTTTTCTTCACAGATGCTGCCAGATCTGCTGAACTTTTCCAACAATTTCTGTTTTTGTTCGTGATTTACAGCATGCGCAGTTCTTTCGGTTTTCACATTGAATTCAGTTTTGCTGAAGCTCCTTGATGCCATCCTTGAGTGAAAATAGTAATTGAAACATGTGTATAATGTGAAGTGTTTGTATATTTTATTTTTGGACAGCTAACTTTTTATATTTTCTATTGAAAGTTAAACAGTTAAGTAAGCAATGATCAGATGTCCCTTCTGGCACTTTTCTCTTCATTGATCTTTCCTTTTCTATTTTTATCAATTTCCTTTGGTTGAATAACCTCCATCCTTATTAGAAAATTAAACAAGGAATCAATTACAACAAACAAACAGAATTTGTAGAAATCGTTTTTATAGCCCTACTCTTATGGTCATAATTTTATTTGTTCTTTGATTTTCACTTAAGGATGAAAGTTATTTCAAGGAAAGGAAATTGATTGATGAAGAGAAGTAATCCAAGAAAATTATACTAAATAGAGTTTGGACAGTGGGAGATAGAATGAAGAATCTTCTTAATGGTTGCTATCACAAGTTTGACTATTGCTTGTTTATCTGGTGATGTACAAGATCTATTGCTGGCAGAAGTATAGATTTTAACAGATAAGCCATTTCCATGCATTTTTCACTCAATCTGTCATAATAAATATTCCTGCTGTGAACTGATTTACAAGGTTCATATGCCATTACATTGATAGATAAATAATTACATGAAAAATAAAATAGGATTTCTTTCTTTATAAATGCTAAGGAGAAAAGGAACGTATTTTGTGTCAATTTACTTTCCTGTTTGTAGAGAGTGCAGAGTGATACATAAATTAGATGTGATACACCAATGATGTTATTGCTGTGACATTGACTCAATATCCCTGTGTGATATACATCACTGTTGAGCCATGACACGAAAAGTACAGTGTCCTGTTCTGCTGAAACCCACTCTTCTACTGGTTTTCCTTTCACTTGTGCATTCAGGCCATATAACAGCATGCTGTAATGATTTTTGTTTCTGTGTTGTAAGCACATTGCTGTTCCGAAATGCTTCTTATTGATCAATACATTCACAAATAGGTCTATGTCAATTATCGCCATTTTGTGCAGGAGTAACCAAAACAATACACAGAAACAGTCAAATAATTACCAAATGTATGAAAAGAAAATCTATAATTCTATATTCAGAAAAGAAACAAATTTTGTTCTTTGCAACATGATTACCCAAATATTTTAATGGTTACTGTTACAACTGTGATTCTTTTTTTACCCAAATAAAATTTATTTGCTGTTAGCAGGCATGATCTCTCGTTACAAGATCATGTGACAATAGCTACAAATATTTTTGCAAAGTAAGTCACAGAGCATCATTCAGCTGAAAACATCAAATGAAATTTCCTTTGAAAGCTTTTCCCACATTGCTATTAGACTAATGGAAGTTATGTTTTATATAAACAAGGCTCAGCAATAGCCTTGTGAATTTTTCATACTATTATCTTCTATTATCTTCTTCCTCTTGCTCTTTTGTTTTCCCAGTTTTAGAAGTAATTATTTGGTTATGCTACAGATCATAAAAATATTTCCTTTCCTGCCAAGCCTTTCCAACCTGAGTTGTTACTTATTATGTATTTTAATATTATCCTCATAATCCAGCCCAATCAAACTAGAATTAGAAAAACAATGTGGCATCTTTGGTCAAAATCTATCATTGATCTTTCCCACAAAAATTTGTATATATTTACTTCATCTGTAAACTTTGCTTCAATTTGTATTTGCATATTAGTTCTCGCAGCAAATGTATTTTTAACCACCAATCAAAAACAAAACTCAAGAATTGTAATTCAAATAACATTCAGCTAACTCACTTTGATCTGCCACCTGATAAGTCAAAAAATACATTGTTAATTATCTTGGTTTCTTCAAGTGAAACAATCATTTTTGACAAGAATGTTCAAATACCAAAAGACTGGCTTTGGCACATCAAGAATATAAACTTATTTAAATGGTGCAATTTAACCAGGAAGAATAAATCAATTAAAGAAAAAGAAACTAGATATCTTTATTGGAGTTTGAGAAAAGCAAACGCAAAAGCAAAACCTGAACTTATTTTCAAAGCATTTGTAATAAATGAGTTGGGAAAATTAGCAAAGGATTTTTCCATTTTATCATTGCTCACTAATGATTGTTTAGTGTGCAGTGGCATCCTTGGCAAGTAATATTCATACCACACAAATGGCAGTCAATGACTATCTCCAACAAAACAGAATCTGGCCATCTCCCTTTGACATTCAATGGCATTAATATCACTGAATCTCTTACCACCAAAATCCTGAAGATTACCATACACCCAAAACTTAACTGGGCCAGCTATACAAATACTCTGGTTAAAGGAAAACAGGTTAGAGGCTGGGAATTCTGCAACAAACATTTCACCTTCCAACTCCCTAAAAGACTGTAGATCAATTAGAAGGCACAAGTCATGAGTGTGATGGAATTCACTCCTCCCCAACAATAGTTTGCACAGCCTAAACAATGCACCACAGCAACTTGCCAAAATTCCTTCAAAGCACCTTCCAAACCTACGACCTCTACTGCCTTGAAGAACAAAGGCAGTTGATGCGTGGTAACACCATTACCTGCAAATCCCCCTCAAAGCTACACACCATTTTGACTTGGAGCTATATCATTGTTTCTTCACTTTAACTAGAACAAAAAGCTGAAATTCCCTTCCTAATGTAACTGAGGTGGACCTATACTACACGGACTGCAGCAGTACAAAAAGGTGTCTCAGCAACACTTTCTCAGGAGCAATTGGGGATGGACAACAAATGCCAGGATAGTAGAGACATTCATATCCCGTAAACAATAACAAAATATATCCAAATAATTTTTAGTAATATGTTGACCTAGTATTCCAAAAGCTACACAATTTTAGCTCAGAAATGTCGGTTAGGCTGTATACATGGAAAATATGTGTGGACCTCTTAGATACAGATCCCATTTAAATAAATTCATTTTCTTCAAATACAGATGGTTCAGTGGATTTAACTGGGAAGGATTGAAAGCCAGAACATTACCATCGCCTTTAAAAAGAGAGGTACTTTGCTTATTATTATTTTACCTATGACATAAGTATGTCATGATTTTGCACATTCTTGTACTCTGTTATATGCAAAAATAAGTGGTGTACAATTGGGACTAAGTAACTCAATAAACAATTAGCTCTCTATCTATTCATGAACCATGATACTTTGTTCTTACCCAACATAACATTGACAATCCTAGTGAAGAGCCGTTCCCTACTGCTGTAGCCCATGTGATAGGATGAGCTGTGGAATCAGGCCCAGTTTAGGTTGATAGTTCCAAAATTGCAGGCTGGGCTGAATATTCCAATTCCATTCTCATTGATGAGTGCAAACGTTGCAGAGAGAAGCAAAGGTTTTGTCACCACTAAAGCATATTCAAAAACTGGCACCACTTTTAATAGAATTAGCAATCTCATTCAGAAAAGTAGTAATAGTGACTTGCATAGGATCTGGGAACACCTGGACTAATGCAGAAGAGGGTATTCTATTGGGATCTGGTTTAAGGTTTTTTTTTAATTAATTCGTGGGATGTGGGCATTGCTGGTTGGACCAGCATTTATTGCCCATCCTTAATTGCCCAGAGGGCAGTTAAGAGGCAACTACATTGCTGTGGGTCTGGAGTCACATATAGGCCAGACCAGGTCAGGATGGGAGATTTCCTTCGCTAAAGGACACTAGTGAACCAGATCGGTTTTTCCCAACAATCGACAATGGATTCATGGTTATCATTAGATTGTTAATTCCAGATATTTATTGAATTCAAATTCCACCATCTGCTGTTGCTAGATTCGAACCCAGGTCCCCAGAACATTACCTGGGTCTCTGGATTAATAATCTAGTGATAATACCACTAGGCCATCGCCGACCCAAATCCTGTTGGTGGTACACATCAGATGGTGAAATGCTGGAGAAACTCAGCAGGTCTGACAGTGTCTGTGGACAGAGAAACGGGGTTAAGTTTGAGTCTGGTCTGACTTCTTCAGAACTCAACTTGAGTTCTGCAGCAGTTTCTCTGGCATTTTCTGTTTTACTTTCAGATTTACAGCATTTGCAGTATTTTAATTTTACCTCAGAGGATGACTTACTCCGAATCTGACTGCATATACCGTCCTAGTAAGTATCTGATGCTGTCACTGGGGGATCAGTTTTATTCATTGGGCTATTTGTCAGTGAGTGCACATTGGTTACCTTCCTCATGTTGGAGTGGCTTTGGCTTCATTTTCAATTGCCTGTTGATATAACAATGCAACTTGCTGAGCCCCAACTGACACAATATGAAATGACTTGCCTGTTGTATCACTCCTTGGACATGTCATTGAGCAGGGAATAAAAATGGAGAAGAGGAGTCCAGTGCATTAGTTCTGAAGGAGTGATGAGTCTAGTAATTCCATTTTGAAATCCTTAATGTTGATTTTGCTAAGGTAAAATCACATCTTTGAAATGCAAAATACAAATCTATTCTGAACACTAATGTCTTCATTCATGTTGTATAAAACAAATAATCATATAATACATTATTAAGTTCACAGACAACAATTTAAACTTTTAATTGTACAATGATTTCTTCATTATGTAAACTTATCTGGAAAAAGCAATGGTCAATGAAGGAAATATTTTGGAAATGCGGTTACTGTACTGTGATAAACATTTAGCAGAAATGTTATTGGAACAGAAAGCTTAAAACTATCAGGATACGCACAGCCAGATGTGACATTTTTCTTTTATTGGCTGCTAGAGCTTTTTAAGATGATAGCTTACAATAGGGAGGTATAAAGAAGCATTTTCACTTGTGGTGCAAATCAATGGGTCAGAAACATAAGGTGATCACTAATCAATCCAATAAGAATTTCAAGAGAGCTTTTGTGCTCAGAGTGTTTGGTTAAAACATGGAACTTGCTAATACGTGGAATTGTTGAGGCAAATAACACAGGTACACTTAAGGGCAAGTTAAATAAGTACATGGATAGAGAAGGAATAAGGCTACACTGATCAGAGTTTGATGAAGTAGGATAAGAGGATATTTGTCAGAGCATAAACACCAGGGCAGGCAGACTGAATCAAATAGCCTACTTTCATACTGTAAATTATAGAAGCGTAGAATCACTACAATGTGGAAGCAGGCCATTTGGCCCATCAGGTCCACACTGACCATCCAAAGAGTATCCTTCCCAGACCCACCCCTGCACCAACCCCCCCAAACCCCCCCACCGCCCCAGCCTACCCTATCCCTGTATTTCCCATGGCTAATCCACCTAGCCTGCATATCCCTGGACACAATGGGCAATTTAGCATGGCCTATCCACCTGACCTGCACAGTCTGTGGGAAGAAACCCACATGGACACAGAGAGAATGTTCAAACTCTAAACAGTCACCCAAGCCTGGTATCAAACTCGGGTCCTGGTGCTGTGAGGCAGCAGTGCTAACCACTGAGCCAACAGACCACCCCAAATTATATTCACTTTTTCTTATCATATCTATTTAAATGAATTAATTAACACACCAACAAGTTTGGTCAAGGCAGAAACTCTGTAATTGCTGAGTTGCAACAGGACAGTTTATGTACCAGATGGGAGAGGCTGGTGGTCCAAGAAAGCCAAATCTAAGCTTTTTTACTGATGTACTGATGAGAACCATTAATAACTAACGTAACAATTTAATAGCTTTGTTTTCCAGGATAGGGTCTTGCTGAGTAATGTATTTTCCTTTCTTTCCAAGCTTAAAGGTCCTACAGATTATAGATACTTTGACAAGTATCCTCCTGATAAGGATATCCCTCCAGATGAACTTTCAGGCTGGGACAAGGATTTCTAAATCAATGACAAGTCACCTACTACATGGGGATAAGAAGGCTCCAACTGTTACTCTTGTTCAATGATCATAAACAAACTGAACAATTTCCTGTTATATGGTATTGATAGAAGCCAACCAGCAGCAGCTTCTACAAAATAAAGAATTAACAATGAATATGATAAAGAAGGAAAGAAATAACTTTAAAAAAATCACAAATCAGTAAAGGTTTCTTCTGGTGTTAACTAGAAAAAACATTTTCTATTTAAATAGCTGCTATAGGTCAAATATGGCTTGTGCAAATAATTCTTTCGGCTGTAGTAAGATGGTTGCACTCTGTGGGCAGAAGCATGTGGAGATATTGAATAGCCAGGATAAACAGTCGAACAGCTGCAGTCAGTAGCAGTATTTGTACTGCAACATTTCTTCCCAGTATGCACATGCTGAGATCTCCAAGCCACGACATCTTTGATCAGGCAGAAGTTTTGTTTTTATATTAAGACCTCACAGGCTTTCTACGCATTATGCTGATTTCACCTGCAGAGTATGTTTCTGGTGGACTGCGTACAATCACGTTCCTTCCTGGCTTGGCGATAATATCATTTCCTGAGAGGCTACCCTGACAAGCCACTTCAGAACATTGTATATTTCAATTAGATAACCCCTCATTGTTCTAAACTCCAGGGAATATAGGCCCAATTTAGCCATTCATCATTAGAATGATCATTTCATCCAAATACTAATCTAGTGAACCTTCTCTGTACTGCCTCCAGTACAAATACAGGTGTATCCTTCCTTAAAGATGAAGGCCAAAACTACACACTGTGCTCTATGTGTGGTCACACCAATGTGCTGTTAAATAGTAGGAAGGCTTCCATTTATTGTAATACAGGCCCAATGCAATAAAGACAAATATGCTATTTGCCTTCCTAGCTGTGTCCTATACTTGCACGTCGATTTATTTCCATTCTTCATATGAGTACTCCCAAGTTCCCTGAACATCAACATCTATAAGTTTCACATTTAAAAAAAAAATTCTGCTTTTCTTGTGACCAAAATAAATAACCTAATATTTTGCCACTTTGTACTTCATCTTGTGCATTTACTTAACCTGCCTGTACTTCTTTGCAGCAACGCTGTGTTTTTCTCTCACGTTATCTTTCTACCCACTTTTATTTCATCAGCAAACTTACTCTCATTACTTTCTACCTCTTGGTTTAAGTCATTAATGTAGATTATAAATAGCTGAGGCCTCAGAACTGATGCTTGTGGCACTTCACATAAGAACATAAGAACGTAAGAACTAGGAGCAGGAGTAGGCCATCTGGCCCCTCAAGCCTGCCCCGCCATTTAATAAGATCATGGCTGATCTTTGAGACTCAGCTCCACTTACCCGCCCACTCACGATAACCCTTAATTCCTTCGCTGTTCAAAAATTTATCTAGCCTTGCCTTAAAAACATTCAGTGAGGTAGCTTCAACCACCTCACTGGGCAGGGAATTCCACAGATTCACAATCCTTTGGGTGAAGAAGTTCCTCCTGACCTCAGTCCTACATCTGCTTCCCTTTATTTTGAGGCGATGCCCTCTAGTCCTAGTTTCACCTGCTAGCGGAAACAACCTCCCTGCCTCCACTTTATCTATTCCCTTCATAATCTTATATGTTTCTGTAAGATCTCCCCTCATTCTTCTGAATTCCAATGAGTATAATCCCAGTCTACTCAGTCTCTCCTCATAATCCAACCCTCTCAACTCTGGAATCAACTGAGTGAATCTCCTCTGCACCCCCTCCAGCGCTAGTATATCTCTTCTCGAGTAAGGAGACCAAAACTGCACACAGTACTCCAGGTGTGGCCTCACCAGGACCCTATACAGCTGCAGCATAGCCTCCCTGTTTTTAAACTCCATCCCTCGAGCAATGACAGACAAAATTCCATTTGCCTTTTTAATCACCTGCTGCACCTGCAATCCCACATTCAGCGATTCATGCACAAGGACACCCAAGTCCCTTTGCACAGCAGCGTGCTGCAATTTTTTACCATTTAAAACATAGTCCATTTTGCTGTTATTCCTACCAAAATGGATGACCTCACACTTATCAACATTGTACTCCATCTGCCAGACCTTTGCCCACTCACTTCGACTATCTATATCCCTCTGCAGACTTTCAGTGTCTTCTGCACACTTTGCTCTACCACTCACCTTAGTGTCATCTGCAAATTTTGACACACCACACTTAGTCCCCAACTCCAAATCATCTATGTAAATTGTAAACAATTGAGGTCCCAACACTGATCCCTGAGGCACACCACTAGCCACTGACCGCCAACCAGAAAAACACCCATTTACCCCTACTCTTTGCTTTCTACTGGTCAACCGATCCTCTATCCATGCCAATACATTACCTGTAATGCCATGCAACTTTATCTTATGTAGCAGCCTTTGGTGTGGCACCTTGTCAAATGCCTTCTGGAAATCCAGATACACCACATCCACAGGTTCCCCATTGTCCACCATGCAAGTAATGTCCTCAAAGAATTCCACCAAATTAGTTAAACATGACCTACCCTTCATGAACCCATGCTGGGTGTTCCCAATGGGACAATTTAAATCCAGATGTCTTGCTATTTCTTCCTTAATGATAGATTCAAGCATTTTCCCCACTACCGAAGTTAAGCTAACTGGCCTATAGTTACCTGCTTTTTGTCTACTTCCTTTTTTAAACAGTGGCGTCACATTGGCTGTTTTCCAATCTGCGGGAACCACCCCAGAGTCCAGTGAATTTTGGTAAATAATTACTAGTGCCTTTGCTATTTCCCCCATCACCTCTTTTAGTACCCTGGGATGCATTTCATCAGGGCCAGGAGACTTGTCTACCTTTAGCCCCATTAGCTTGCCCAGCACTGCCTCCTTAGTAATAATGATAGTTTCTAGGTCCTCACCTGCTATAACCTTCTTGCCATTAGTTTTCAGCATGTTATTTGTGTCTTCCACTGTGAAGACCGACACAAGATAACTGTTTAATGTCTTGGCTATTTCCTCATTTCCAGTAATTAAAGTGGCCTTCTCATCCTCTAAAGGACCAATGTTTACCTTCGCCACTCTTTTACGATTTACATATTTATAGAAACTTATGCTGCCTGTTTTTATATTCTGAGCTAGTTTACTCTCATAATCTATCTTACTTCTCTTTATAACTTTTTTTGTGGCTTTCTGTTGGCCTTTAAAGATTTCCCAGTCTACTAGTTTCCCACTACTCTTTGCTTTTTTGTATGTGTTTTTTTTCAATCCGATACTTTCCTTTATTTCCTTAGACATCCATGGCTGGCTGTCTCTTTTCCGAAAGTTCTTCCTTATCACTGGAATATACTTCTGCTGAGCACTGTGAAAAATTGTTTTGAAAGTCCTCCACTGTTCCTCAATTGACCCACCATAAAGTTTTTGCTCCCATTCTACCTTAGCTAACTCCTTCCTCATTCCTTCATAGTCTCCTTTGTTTAAGCACAGGACATAGGTACTGGATTTAACCTTCTCACCTTCGATCTGTATTTTAAATTTGATCATACTGTGATCGCTCCTTCCGAGAGGATCCCTAACTGCGAGAGCATTAATTATTCCTGTCTCATTACACAGGACTAGATCTAGGATAGCTTGCTCCCTCGTAGGTTCCATTACATATTGTTCAAGGAAATTATCACAGATGCATTCTATGAACCTCTCCTCAAGGCTGCCATGACCGACCTGGTTTGACCAATCAATATGTAGATTAAAATTCCCCATGATAATTGCTGTAACGTTTTTACATGCATTAGCTATTTCTATGTTTATTGCCCGCCCCACCACGATGTCGTTATTTGGTGGCCTATAGACCACGCCTATCAGTGACTTCTTCTTCCTGCTATTGCTAATTTCCACCCAAATGGATTCAACGTTTTGTTCAGTGGAACTTCTATCATCTCTCACTACTGCCCTGATATCATCCTTAAAAATCAGAGCAACACCACCTCCCTTACCTTCCTGTCTGTCCTTCCGAACAGTTTGATACCCCTGGATATTTAACTGCCAGTCATGACCATCCTGTAACTATGTCTCTGTAATGGCCACTAAATCATACCCATTTGCCATGATTTGCAGCGTCAACTCATCCACCTTGTTTCAAATGCTCCGAGCATGCAGATAAAGTGCCCTTATGCCAGTTTTTGCACCTTCTTTTTGGGTCCTATTACCTCCATTGCTAACAACTCTTGAGTTCTCCTTCCCTTTAACTTTTTTCCTAATTTTCAATGGAATTGAAGCTTCCTCGTCACCTGCTAACCTGCTGTTTTGCCTTACATTGTTATTCTCCCTCTACACTCACTTCTCCCTTCCACCCTACTTACTAGTTTAAAGTCCTATTAACCACCCCATTTACCCTTTTTGCCAGAACACTGGTCCCAGCCTTGTTTATGTGGAGTCCATCCCAGCGGTATAGATCCCTCCTGTCCCAGAACTGATGCCAGTGCCCCACGAAAAGGAAACCCTCTTTCTCAAACCACTCTTTTAGCCACGTGTTTACTTCCCTGATCCTCGCCTCCCTATGCCAATTTGCACGTGGCTCAGGCAGCAATCAGAGATTATGACCCTTGAAGACCTGTTTTTTTAATTTTGTTCCTAGCTTTTCATAATCCAGAAACAGGTCTTTTTTCCTCGTCCTGCCTATGTTGTTGGTACCTACGTGGACCACAACAACCGGACCCTCCCCTTCCCTCTCTAGTATCCTCTCAAGCCGGTCAGAGATGTCTCGCACCCTGGCGCCGGGCAGGCAACACACCATGTGGGATTGTTAACTCCCAAATTTACTGGGTGGAAGCTTTCCTTCCCAGGCTGCCCTCGCGCTTCGTCCCGGACTCCCACCGCTGAAACAACTGAAAGGCCACTGTCACGCAAGGTAAGACTTTTATAATCGAAAAGCTTACCTTCCCAGGCTGCCCTCGCGCTTCCTCCCAGACTCCTGCCGCTGAAACAACTGACCGCCGCTGAAAGAAC